TGAACCAGCAACCCTTTGGTTCACAGGCCAGCACTCATTCCACTGAACCACACCAGCCAGAGCAATAATCTATTTAATTCCAAATCTGAACATGAAATTGCCTTTTGGGAACCCTTTTATGGTTTCCCACCACCCAAGTTTCAGATTCTTGAGGGTGACACCTAGTTCCCTTAATGATCTGGTCCCTTCTGCAATCCCATCCACAACTACTGCCTCACATCTTACATGCCAGCGTAAGTTCTTAGGTAGGTTATTTATTACCTAATCTGTAAAGTATACTAATTTTTTTGCACTTCTTTTATGTGCCATGTAGTTTCATAACTGTGTGTCTAGAATGCCTGACTTCCACACTCTAAAGCCTGAATAGTTACCTCTTAATCATTATTTCTATACTCTATACATACTACTGTTCTCCCTATCACTTTGTATTTTATTTATTGGTTCACATGTCTGAATATCCCTTCTACTATATGGTGAAGAGCCACTAAAGGACAGAGACACATACTATTCATCTTAGCATTTCCAGTTCTATCACCCTGCTTTACCAATTATTGGCCCATGGCCAGTCTTCCTCTCTCTATGCCTACTACCACCCCATACAGGTTATTTTGAAGCCAAAATCAGATATTTCAATCTGTAAATATTTCAGAGTGCGTCTTTAAAAGATTGGGATGCTTTTCTTAAATAACCATGTCACATTAAAATAATAATTCACTAATATTATCAACTAATCAGTAAGCATTCACATTTCCACAGTTGTCTCATAATTGTTTTATTTTTATTTTTAAAAGATTTTGTTTATTTATTTTTAGAGAGGGGAGGGCAGGGAGAAAGAGAGGGAGAGAAACATCAATGTGTGGTTGCCTCTTATGTGCCCTTTACTGGGGACCTGACTCGCAACTCAGACATGTGCCCTGACTGGGAATCAAACCAGTGACCCTTTGGTTCGCAGGCTGCACTCAATCCACTGAGCCATACCAGCCAGGGCAAATTCAAACAAAACTTAATTTTTAAATTTTGTTTGAATTTGGGTTTTAGTAAGATCTATACAGTGGTGGGAAAAAGTAGTTTTATAGTTGTAATACAAGTAAATAATACAATAATTAATAAATAATAATATAAGAATAAACTCTGTTTTATGTACTCACAACTGTAAACCTACTTTTACCCACCCCTGTATAGTTCAGTTGTTTATGTCTCTCAAGTTCTTTTTTTAACTATAAGTTTTGTTTCATTTCTTTTTTATTATTGTTGAAAAAAATTGTCTTTTGTCCTGTAGAGTTGTTCACAGTGTGGATTTTGTTCATGGAATCATTTAGCATGCTCATCTGTGCTCTGTTTTTAGTAAGTTAATAGATTTAGGCTTAATCAGAATAATTTGATTAAGGGGGGTGGGAGGCAAAAATATATTATAGTAGTGTTGTATTCCACCAAGAAGTATATCATTGACTTCCCTCTCTTGTTTTGTGTGATGGTAACATTGATGAATTTTATATAGATCCATAATGCATTAGGAGTTGCAAAATGCTGATATTTTAATTTTGTTATTCCTTTCTTATTTTTTTAGTTGGAAGGAAAATATCTATAAAGAGAAATTTCCTTTTCTCAACCATATGATTACCTTGAAATATTATTTTAAAATACTAAGACCTTTACAACCCTGGCTGGTGTGGCTCAGTGGGTTGAGTGTCAGCCTGTGAACCGAAGGGCCACCGGTTCCATTCCTGGTCAGGGTACATGCCTGGGTTGTGGGCCAGGTCCCCAGTTGGGGGTGTGCAGGAGGCAGCTTGATTAATATTTCTCTCACATATCTCAATGTTTCTCTTACTCTTTCTTCCTCCCTCCCCTTCTCTCTAAAAATAAATAAAATCTAAAAAAAAAAAAGACCTTCCTGACTGATGTGAAGTGGTATCTCCTTGTGGTTTTAATTTGCATCTCTCTGATAGCTATCAATACTGAGCATCTTTTCATGTGTCTCTGGATCCTCTGTATGTCCTCCTTGGAGAAGTGTCTGTTCAAGTCCTTTGCTTATTTTTTAATTGGGTTGCTTGTCTTCTTAGAGTGGAGTCGTGTGAGTTCGTTATATATTTTGGAAATTAAACCCTTGCCTGAGGTATCATTGGCAAATATGTTTTCCCATACAGTTGGTTCTCTAAAACCACAATGAGATACCACTTCACACCGGTCAGAATGGCCATCATAAACAAAGGAACAAACAAGTGTTGGAAAGGTTGTGGGGAAAAGGGAACCCTAGTGCACTGTTGGTGGGATTGCAGACTGGTACGACCACTATGGAAAACAATATGGAATTTTCTGAGAAAACTAAAACTGGATCTGCCTTTTGACCCAGCAATTCCACTGCTAGGATTATATCCTAAGAACCCTGAAACACCAATCCCAAAGAACTTATGCACCCCAATGTTCATAGCAGCACAATTTACAATAGCAAGTGTTGGAAGAAACCTAAGTGCCCATCAGTAAATGAATGGATCCAAAAACTATGGTACATTTACACAATGGAATTCTATGCAGCAGCAAGAAAGAAGGAACTCCTACTGTCTGCAACAGCATGGATGGAACTGGAGAGCATTATGCTAAGCAAAATAAGCCAGGCGGTGAAAGACAAATACCATATGATCTCACCTTTAACAGGAACCTAATCAACAAAACAAACAAACAAGCAAAATATAACCAAAGACACTGAAATAGAGAACAGGCTGACAGTGACCAGAGGGTAGAGGGGAGGGAATTTCAGGAGAAAAGGGGAAGGGTTTGTGGGAACAAGTATAAAGGACACATGGACAAAAACAAGGGGCGGGTGGAAATGGGAGGGAGGTTTAATATTTAAAGACAGAAAACTGTACTTGAACAACAATTAAAATAATTTTTTTTAAAAAAAAGACCTTTACATATTATGGAACAAAGGAGTCAGTTTCATAAAGGATATATAAGGTGAACTAATAGGTTTTTGAGTGTCAAGATAGCAATACCTTTAAAGTAAATTTCTAAAACTTAGCAACTCTTTAATAAATGTTTAAAACATTAAGATTGCATGGGGCCCTGGCTGGCATAGCTCAGTGGATTGAGCACGGGCTGCGAACCAGGCATCACAGGTTCAATTCCCAGTCAGGGTACATGCCTGGGTTGCAGGCCATGGCCCCCAGCAACTGCACATTAATGTTTCTCTCTCTCTCTCTCTCTCTCTCTCTCCCTTTCTCTCCCCCCTCTCTCCCTTCCCTCTCTAAAAGTAAATAAATAAAATCTTTAAAAATTAAAAAAAAAGATTGCATGGGAATATAAATCTTTAACTAAAAAACCTCTGATATTTAAAAATAAGAATTAGGAAGGCCATTTTTAAAAAGATTTAATTTATTTATTTTTAGGGAGAGAGGAAGGGAAGGAGAAAGAGAGGGAGAGAAACATCAATGTGTGGTTGCCTCTTGCGTGACCCAAACTGGGGACCTGGCCCACAACTCAGGCATGTGCCCTAACTGGGAATTGAACCAGTGACCCTTTGGTTCATAGGCCTGCACTCAATCCACTGAGCTACACCAGCCAGGGCAGAAGGCCATTCTTTAGAACAAAAAAAATATAGTCAGTCAAGCTGGTATTCATTTCCAAAATATATATTACTTTTATAAACAACCAAAATCCCTGTTTAAAAATGAAACAGTAAATTGCACATCCCCACATTGAATCAAAATATCTTATGTTTTATCATAATAAACTACTGAGCTCCCCCTTTGCTTCCATTACAGTGCTTCTCTCAGTATCTTTCAATGGTTTCTCCCTTATTTTCTCCAACTTCTTTCCATTAACTGGACCTAATTCAGAACTGAAAAGTTTTAAAATACTTTCTTCAGGAAATAAAATAAAAATTATGTTCCATGCTATCAGTTCTAAAATGAGTGGGAATCCAGAGCATGAAGACCAGATACCCTTACCTCATTCTAGTATGGAGATACAGGAGAGGAATCTGGGTCTAGAAGTAGGTAGTTTTATACATTATTCCAATAAAACAATATTTAACACTTGGAGATATCCACACAGTGTTTAATGTTATGACAGAACTACTTTCATTATTATTTGTTCTATATTATCATATTAACAAAATAATCTCAGGTTTAAAAACAAAAAACAATCCTTGACTGGTTTGGCTCAGCTGGTTGAGGGTGGTCCTGCAAAACAAAAGGTTGAGGGTTCACTTCCCAGTCAGGGCACATGCCTGAGTTGCGGGCCAGGTCCCCAGTAGGGGGCATGCGAGAGGCAACCACATATTGATGTTTTTCTCCCTCTCTTTCTCATTCCCCTCCCCTCTGTCTAAAAATAAATAAATAAATCTTTAAAAAGGTAAAAATAAAAAAGTAGAGCCTGACAAAGCTAAAACATTTCTAAATCTTAACTTTTGATCTGATTCGGTAAACCCATGATACACATATCAGTATATCAAATGGTTAAGTAAAGCAAAAGATAAAATTATTTGTTCATGCCCAGAAATAAAATTCAGGAATAGGTAACCCCCTTCCGTGCCTCTTTGCCCTTTACTGTAACAGCATAAGCAGCCTGCAAGGAACTGTGTGTGAGTATCTTAGGGAAATTAAACTGGCTACCAGTACTCTGAAATGTGGAAGTTGACTCCAAACTTATAAGTCAAATGCAAACTAATCTGGTAAGTCAGATCAGAACCAATTCTAAGCTTGAAAAAGTTTTTTGGGTATCACTCTTCTTGCTCAAGATGAAAGATTATATTTTTAAAGGGCCCTTCTACTATGTCAGAATATTCTTGTTAAGATGTTAAGAAGCCATTGTCCCAGAAATGAAAAGCTTTCATTTTCCCTAGTGCTGAGCTGTCTAGTTCTGGGGAGTCATGACTTAGGCCAGATGCTCCAGAAGAAAATGATGAATAATAAAGTATGAGTTGATGAGTTCCCCTTTGTTGCCAGAAGTAAGGGGAAAGGAATTATGGGAGTGTTTGTCAAAGGTCTCATTTTCCTTCGTAGGTGTGGAGTTTCCAGAAGAAACAAACAGATCTCCTCATCGCCTTTTACAAGCATAGAATTACAAAGTTAGAAGCAGCCATGCAGGAGGCACAGCAAACAGTGACCAGCCAGAACAAGTAAGTGACAAACCAGTCACCAGAGAGCTTTTTTCTTTAAGAGATGCTAATAGCCCTAAATTCCTTATGGTCGCAAAGCCTGAACATTGCTCCCTGTGTGTTTATGTTTATCTTGGGCAGATCAGGTACATAATTTTTGGCCCCCTCAAAATCCATTTTGTTTTTCTTTTCCTTTCCTCAAGTGGCACTCCTCATTTTATAGCTTTCCTCTTCTGCCTCCCCCAATCAAAAACTGCTTCAGAGAAATCAAACTTAGCTTTTTCGAAGTAATACAGATAAGAAATAGCATTTGAAATGTTACCTGCAGGAGGGTATATTTTGGAAATCATAAGCTAAAAGATGGAATCCTTGATGGAAATTTTCAAATATCAGCAGACCAGGGGTATATGTGGAGAGGAAATGGGATTCTGTGTAAACTCCTCTGAAATCATGCCAAGCGACTGTTTACTTTGTCCAATTCTTCTCATCATCAAAAATGCTGCCATTGTCTCCTCACATCACTGGATCTCTGAGAGAAATACCATGAATAGAGACTGGCAGGCATCTCTCCATAAGCATTAACTAGATAATAATCAAAATCAGTTTTTTTTATCCCACTAACCAACTAGAGCTGATTGTTTTCATCTTTTTCCTAGAGAGCTGTCAGTCTTAAGGAAAGAGAATGAAGAACTAAAGAAATTTCTAGCCATCCTGAAGGTGAATGAAATAGATTTTCCTTATTATTTTTTCCTCCTACTTTTCCCATCTAAATAGGTTCTGAAACTCTATTCTACTGAATAGAATAGTATTTCAGAACCTTTGACATATAAGTGATAATATGTATACACACACTCTAGTAAATGGATGAGAACATTTTGCCGCGCTGAAAGAGTCAACATTTAGCACACTGGTAGCCCATTCTTGAACATCAGTGAGTCACAACATACCATTTGGAAAGCTCTCTTATAGAAAAGACATCTGTTGTAACTTAAAATTTCTCCTCAAGACTCTGAAGACACCTCGGGCCCTTCCTGTCCCTCAGATTGTCCTTCCTGGACATTTCTCTTTTCCTAAGAAAGTTCTTTGTACTTGTGTAATGTTCCCCATGATCTTGCTCCTGTAACTATTCTAGCACATTGTAATCCTGTCATTTTTTTTCTCTCCTCCGTTTCCCCATATATATTAGTCTGTGGGATCCCCAATGTGTTTTTATAATGAGGAACTAAAATTTTATCCCCCCCACAGCTAAAAATTTCCAACAGAAACGCTTGCTGCTATTTTTCTCTCCTATTGGAAGTCTTAGCAACCACAACCAGAAGACATTGTAACTTAGGATTCTTGAGCTGCAGCATCCTTCACTTCCATTTTTTTCACTTACAGGAATCTCCAAGTTGGTACCAAGGAAGCAGGTCAGTTTTATCCAGCCCCATTCTAGCCCTATTTGAAAATTTCTGTTCTTACTTGACTCTTGGTTGTAACTCCTGTGTGGGCTCTGAGGTGAAGGAAATGGTTGATGAACTTATCTTTTACTTCTCCGAAAAAAAGTTACTCACTGGAAGTGCTGATGTAAAATCTTGAATGTAAGGCTTACCCTTGACCGTCACCTTATGAAATACTACTCATCCTTCAGAATTCAACTCACATGTCATTTCTTCTGCCAAGACTTCATTAAGCAGAGTAGATGTTTTATTATCCATTTATGCAATATTCATTAAGTGACCACTGTTTATAAGTACTGGTGTACATCACCAGGTATTCTAATTGCTGATGTTTGTACCCTACCAATTGTTAAATATTTTTCTTTTAAAAGAAAGATCCTATTTATTTATTTTCAGAGAGAGGGGAAGGGAGGGAGAAAGAGAGTGAGAGAAATGTCAATGTGTGGTTGCTTCTCACACCCTCCCACTACTGGGGACCTGGCCTACAACTCAGGCATATGCCCTGACTGAGAATCGAACCAGTGACTCTGGTTCGCAGGCCGGTGCTCAATCCACTGAGCCACAGTAGCCAGGGCCAATTGTTAAATATTTTTTATATTAGCTCTATATTTGGTGAATTAAAAAAGACATGGCCTCTGCACTCACAGAAGTGACAGTCTAGTGTTCTTAAATACTTCCATACTTATGCCCATTATAACATTTTAACACTGATTTACTTTTTGTCTCTCCCACTAGCCTGTGAGCCTCTCAGAAACAGGAACTATATTATAGTTATCTTTGTAACCTCACCTAGAATGTATGAGCACTAAATAAATGCGTGTTGGATAGATGGATGAAGGATGGAGAAAGTGAGGGGTGGCAGATGTATGAATGAAGGGATAGATGGATAGATACATATAAAGCTGAAAGTACTTGTTAAGGCTCTGAGGAATGAAAGAAGGACTTCAAAACTTCTATTATGGGCAATAAAGAAGGGGAGAAATTTTCATTTGGGGAGTTAGTTCAACAGGCAAGGAGTCTTCTATGGAAACTTTGCCTCCATATTTTGGGATAATACCTGTTAATATATGATAATAAGCAATTTGTTCTCAGAGAGGAAGCTATTATTTCTAAAAACAATGATCTGACTTATCCTTTAATGTGAAACTTAACTTCTATTTAGAGATATTAGAGCTGCCTCTTTTGTTTTTGTTTGTTTGCTTATATGTTTGTTTTCCTTGCAGGTCAACCACACCTCGACCAGTGGGCATTACTTCCCCATCACAGTCAGGTAGAAAACATTTTTCCCCCAAATATATGTATGAGATGAATAAATATCCTTTTCATATATGAAAATGGTTTCCTCTCAGAGACCATAATAGTATGATTTTCCTAATCTTATGTACGACATGGGAGGATCGTACAACCAGATGCCTACTTGCAACAGATTAGCTAGGCAAGAGCACACTGTTGATGGCAACTTTCCACTCTGCACTTCTTTCTTTCTCAGTTACTCCACGACCCAGTTCTCAGCATAGCAGCCAAGTGGTCAGGTGAGTAGGAAGCCTGCATAGCAACTTTAAAACTGTTGGCAAAAGTTGGAAGATGAAAGAAATACCTACATGTGCCTGAGACAGGGACTAAGGAGACTTTATTAGGTCTATGTAAAAGTTTAACACCAGGTTTGTTTGTTTTCTTTTTGTCTCACCTTACACAGTCGGTCCTCCTCAGTGGAGTCTATCCCTTCTAGAATGGCTGGCTTTAGTAGCATAGGACAAGTAAGTAATAGTTGCCTTCTCTTTCCAGATTGAGATTTCTAGTGCTAAATGTAAGCAAAGATTTAAGGCAAGAATATTAAACTTATATTGATTTTGGCATAAAATTATCTGATGCCAACTAAAACTATCTTTTCTTTTTGGCAATACATACCTGATATTAGAAGTTGACAGAGAATGAATGGGGTGAAATAGTGGAAATGTTCAAGGACTAAATTAATAGAATGTCCTATTTATTTCAGAAGTAGTAAAGTGACCCTGGCTGGTGTGGCTCAGTGGATTGAGTGCCAGCCTGTGACCTGAAGGACCGCTGGTTCGATTCCTGGTCAGGGCACATGCCTGGGTTGTGAACCAGGTCCCCAGTTGGGTGTGTGTAAGAGGCAACCGATTGATATATCTCCTGCACATTGATGTTTCTCTCCCTCTTTTCCCCTCCTTTCTTCCCTTCTTTCTAAAAATAAATAAAATCTTTAAAAAATGTTTTTTAAAAAGTAGTAAAGTGTAGACTAGCATACCCTCTGGGGGAACAAAATGTGCTTCAATGTGTAGATACAGAGAAATAGCAAGGAATATGGAAGCCAGAAAATCAGAATATATTTATTAATTGATGTTTATTATTTGTTCATCAGGAAGCCAGAAGCCTTCAGGGAAGGAACACTCCCAGAGATTCATATAGTGGTGAGAGGGAAGAAAAAAAAAGTGTCAGAAAACAAAATATTTTGTGCATATACCAGCAGTTTCTGGTTTTCTGTGCACAATATGCCATTTTACTTTGTTCCAGTGATTCCAGATATCCAGACATATATTACTACTTTTCAAATAATATTTGTTCTCAAACTGATAAGAATAAAATAAAATAAATGAATGCTAGAAAGTCATTGAAAAACTTCTAGTCAGATGAGTAAAATAATTGACTTGGATTTTTTAAATTGCCACAAGATGGCAGTAGAAGTCAGGTTTAAAAGGAAGGTTAACTAGATGCTGACTTTGTTAGCCTAAAGGATATCTGACTTATTCACTGTGTATTAAACATAAAAAAAATTCCAGTGAAGAAATATTTTGGTTCCACCCACTTAATTTCTTGTTTCTTCCCCCTTAGAACTATTACTGTTATTACTATTTTCCAGGGGATTTAGCCAGTTCATAGCGAATACTTACCAGAGATTTCCCTTTCTTTCCAAAGAGGCAATTTGAAATTTGCAAGTATCTTGCAAATGACCATTTTTGAACTTTACCAAACAGTCTACCCCCAATTCTTTTATACTTACCTCTTTGAAAACTATAGATTCTAAGATTCTAGCCAAATTATTTCTGGTAGTTTAGTAGTAACATTCCCTCTTTCATTCCTGATTTTAGTTGAGTCTTCCTCCACTCCCCCCACCCCCTGGCCCCCCTGCTCTTGGACAACCTGGCTAAATATTAATCAGTTTTGTCGATCATTTCAAAGAACCAAAGATTAGAGCAGAACTTAATGAACTAAAAAATAGAAAAACAGTAAAGAAAATCAACAAAACCAAAAGTTGGTTCTATGACATACATGCTAAAAATCTTTGACCCCAATTCCTTTGCCCTGGCCCTAAGTATACCTGAATCTCTTCTCCAGTTCATGGATTACCTCACAGGCTCATTTTTATGCTTTCTAGAAACCCCTTCACCAGCTTCTACTCACAGCCTATCTTATAGGTGAGTAACACTATGCTTCCTTTCACTTGGGATCTTTTCACACTGACATTCTGCCAACAGTCCTGAGGTTACTTCTCCACTGGCCTGGACCACTGAAGTTTATAATCTACCTTGTAAACAAAAGAGAAGTTTGAAAGGTACTGTGTCTAACGTACATCTGAATTACTTAATTTTATTCTCAATTGCAATCAGAGTCTCTGGCCTAAATGGACAGGTTGGTTCTTCCTTTTACATATGCTTACCTCTACCTTTCCTTTTCTCCACTAATATTTTTGTTTCCTTCCCATAGGACTTCATCTGCCTCCTCTGGACTGGGGATTTTTTCTTTCAGACCATCCCTAAATGGTGGGGATTTGGGTCACGCACAAGTACTCACCCCCAACAATTCAGGTAAATAACATTCCCAAAGGACTGTAGCTTCGACTCCTGACACATATACAGTAAAATGAAGATTTTCAAGGGAAAAAGAAGTTGGAGTTCCCCCCAAAAGAGCATGGTCTCCAGTTTGACTCCTTAATATTCTTTAAGTTACCCCATTTCCTTCACATTGAGAGGAGGCTCTGGATTTCACCTAAATAGCACTCATCCTGTCACCAGTTAAGTTTTGCTATGAAGCCAGAAGGTCAACCTGTAGAATTAAACGGGATTTTTTTTTTTTTTGAGATCCCTGTTTGACTATTGCTAGGAGCTCAGTCCTGAATGAGAACGATAAAGCCTGTATCCTATTTTCAAAAACGCACCTTTGCTACCAGTCCTCGTGATAAGAGGCTGTCCTCTTCTGTGGCTCACCAAAATCTTCATATAGTTTCTGTACCTTTTTACTCATAAAGTCAAATCTTTCTGTCTCCACCCCATCCTCACAGAAAAGAATGAACTGTATAAACCTCCTTTTAAATTGCTTAGCTAAGTCTTTTCCTTTCTGAGAAGTGTTTTGCGGATCAAGAACTACCCTGATCCACAAGTAACACTACCAAGGAACAGCCTGAGGAAGTTCATCTTTTACTATTCCATTCTGTCCTTCAGGTCAGAGGGAGAGTAGAGCCCCACTACAGAGTCTTCCTGGATTCCAGCTACCAGACCTGCAGGTGAGCCCCGGCTAGCCTAACTTGTCTGCATACAAAAAACTCACAGGTAGGTCTGCACACAGAATGCCTTACTCTGGTCTCCTGTTAAGGTGGTGGAATGTAACCAGTGGAGAATGACATGGGTTTCAAATGTGGTGACCACATGTACACAATTTTCCATAATGGTCTCAGTTTCAAAGATTCTATCCCACTATCAGATTAGCTTCCTGGTTTGGGTTTAAAAATTAGGTCATGCCCTGGCTGGTGTAGCTCAGTGAATTGAGTGAATTGAGTGAATTGAGTGAATTGAGTGAGTTCATTATGTGAGAACCAAAAGGTCACTGGTTCGATTCCCAGGCAGGGCACATGCCTGGGTTGTAGGCCAGGTGCCCAGTAGTGGGGCACGACAGAGGCAACCACACATTGATATTTCTCCTCCTCCCTTCCCTTCTCTCTAAAAATAAGTAAAATCTTAAAAAAAAAAATAGGTCACGTAGTACTGAAGGGTTTTAAACTGAGAGGTCTTGGACAGGGTGAGCTAAGTGTGGGGACACAACCAACATTCCCAAGTTTCACATGCAAGAAAGTATTCTCAATGGAATATATCTTTTGCATAGAGGTGCTGCTGGAACTAAGAAAACCCATGTTTATTTCTCCTGAGATAGCCAGAATAATGTTTTGTAAGTTTATGGGACCGTGATTCTGAATCCAGGCAACAAGGGGGAAAGGTCATGGGAATAAGAGGTTTGGAAGGAGCTCTATTCAGTGCAAAGTCCAGGCTTGCCTTTTGAGTTAACTTTCATGGCTTTGGGTGAGGTTATTTAAGCCCTCTCTCCAAGCCAAGCTCCTAGTGACCCCAGAGACATACTAAGGTAGATAAATATTTTGTTCTCATATTCCAAAGTTCCCTTTATTTCCATCAGCAAGAAATTAGGGTCTATGCCCTAAGAGGCAAAACTGCAAAATGACCTCCTGCTCTAAGATCCTCACAAATGGAGGGAATAACTTACAGATGAGAAAAGAGCTCTAAGATCCTCACAAATGGAGGGAATAACTTACAGATGAGAAAAGACTTAAGAGATAAAGAAACCATCTGCAAAGGTATGGGCCCCCAATTGTAAAAAAACAATTTATGAAAAAAAAGTTGAGGAGAATTGAATACCTGTTGGACATTTGATATTAAAGAATAGTTTTTTGATAGGTATAATGCTAGTGTTTATTTTTTTAAATAGTCTTTTGTAAATACATACTAAAAATATTAATGGATAGGAAGTTAAATGATTATCTGGGCTTTGCTTTCGTCTGTTACCTCGTTAGGCTGACACTTCAGTAAGATGTTTACATTTCTCCCACAAGAAATGGAGCTGTCTCATTTCTACAACTTGAAACAGAAGTTAAAAATAGTCCTTTGCATCCTTGGGGGTGGGGTGGGAATAATATACTATTAACTATGTTTTATTTCTGGATTTCATTTCTTAGTTCTGCTATTATCTAGTGGAGAGGGGCAGTGAGAGTAGAAATGAAAAGCTGGCCTGAGTTATTTGTTGAAATGGGGTGATGAGTACATGTGAGTTCATTATACTACTCTACTTTTGGGTATTTATTAAAAATCTCCATAACAAAGCTTAAGAAAAGTTGTTGAAGAAAGTGCCACCTCCCCAGAATAAATTCTGCTTCCCTGGGAATCATCTGTGGGTGTGGTGGTGGGTGTTCTAGGCCTTCCAAAATAGTTTGATTTTCAAGTAGTCTGTCCTACTATCACCAAAAACCACTGAAAATGTCAGTTTCATAAGTAGCAACAAAGCCTTTGATACACTAGATCAGTGGTCCCAACTTTTTTGGTACCAGGGACTGGTTTCCTAGAAGACAATTTTTCCACAGATTAGGGTTGGTGGGGAATGTTTTCAGGATGATTCAAGCACATTACATTCAAGCTCACCTCCTGCTGTGCAGCCTGGTTCCTAACAGGCCCAACCTGTACTTATCTGCAGCCCGGAGGTTGGGGACCCCCGCACGAGATGTCTCAAATCTTAGTTTGGAGAAGTTAATTTTCATGCAGTGGAGAAAACTATGCAAAAGCAATAGTGATGGTTTGCTGTCCTGATAAATTTCATAAAATGGCTTGAGAGGGCCTTACTTGCCTTTTTGGTTGTAACACCCAAGCATGCCTTCTCTTTTCTGCTGTAGATTCTCTACCAACAAAGGCAGATGGGATTAGCCATGGGGAGAGAAGCATGGACCATCCCCAGATAGATCATCTTCAAGGTCTGATCTATACATACTGCTGAAGGACAGAAGGTAGCAGCCAGCCCCATTAAGCGAGATGGCCTTAGGAAATGCACCCCTGCCTCCTTTCCCGGTTTCACTTTGTATTTTCAATCTTCACCACATACACCCTGCATTACCTCATTAGGGTAGTGCTTCAGGAAGGTGTTTACATTTCTCCCACGACATAGAGCTGTCTCATTTCTACAACTTGAAACAAATGTTGTAAAAATAGTCCTTGGCATCCTTGGGGGTGGGAGTAATATACTCATTAGCTGTTTTATTTCTGGATTTCATTTTTTAGGTTTGCATATATTCTCCCATAGCCAACTCTGTAATAATTCTGTTCCTTGTCTTTATTATACTTGTTTGCCTGTTGTTTCCTCTATGCCTAGTTATTAAACATGATTTTCCTTTCTGTCTGATAATAGTTGGAGACAGACATTCAGCTTACTAAAGTACATAGATTATAAAATGGTGGAACAGGTGAAGAACACTACCACTGAGGGCAAATATTTATTCTTCTTTGGGCACAAGGGGATAGAAATAAGGAATTACATGGGTAAGCCACAAGCAGGCAGGCCTTAAGCAAAAATATTGAAAAAATGTGAAGACAGCATCTGCCAGATATGTTTGGTCTTAGCAGTGACCTTGTAGCTGAACTAAGATCACATTACCATTTCTGGAACTCTGAATTTATTTTTAAAGGTATTTCTAAACACACCTCACCTTCTGAACAAGAGCCTGTGCTGTGCAGGTGCAGGAAACAATCTGCCTAGTGACACTGATACACTGCCCCTCAAAGTTACTGTCCCTTTACTTTACTTCAATATATCCTGCTGCTTCAAAAATAAATAAAATGTATACTACATCAGAATGTTAATGACTTTGGCTCCATTAATCTCTAAACCATACAAGTGGCAAAGTGGAGAGAGAAACAATTTTATTTTTGGCCTTTTTATTATTCTAGCAATTTGGGGCTTCCATTCTTACTTCTATTTGGTTAACCCACTGATATCATTATATCTGACCCCAACTGATAAAAACCATTCTTAAACATCACTCAATTCTGTTGAAGACCATGGTCCTCCTGTCCCCAAGGCAGCTCCTATAAAGAGAGGGAAAAGCCTCTCTCTGTATACAAATTGAACCAATATCAAATGATGAAAAATCAGTCTCTGTCAAGTCAGGCAGGAGGGAGTGTCAGGCTTGTAAAACCAAACCTGGAACCTGCCTGCAGTCCTCTGAACAGCAGAAACCATTCCCTCTCCCCTATACCTCTGTAACCTAATTCTACTTTTTTTAAAGGACATCTCCCCTAATTCCCACCTTCAATAAATATCCAGTCTAAATTATTCTCCACCCAGTTATTATTATTATTATTTTTTTTTTCACAAGCTCCATGGGGAAGATTTACCCTGAGACATAGTGAAGAGGCTGGGGATTTTGGAAAGAGATAAAAAGGTACAAGGCAAAGTGGTCCCAGTATCAGAAATGAAAACATTCTGCTTCCTGTGTGACTCAACAATGAAGCAGGTAAAAGAGAGCTGAAATATTTGTTGAGACTGGGACATACTGAGATTTTAGCTACATTACACTCGGACTTGTGCTCAGAGAGAAAAGGAGAGGTGCAAGGCAGCCTTGTACTCCAGAAAAAACGGTGGGATGAGGGGGTGCATTGGGATCAATTCAATCAAAATTTTTCACTCCTTGTTTCCAGTCCTCCTATACACAGGGTACTAAGGTCTGGCCTCTCTGTAGTATACTAAAGGAAAAATCAGCAGACGAGAGCAAGAGCCTTTACCCAGCCCATGGTCTGGGCCAGATCCTTAGCACTGTCTTCACTGAGGCTGGAGGTCTGGATTTTTGCCCATTGAACCCCTAAATTTGTGCCTTATGCTCATCCTCCCTGGTCTACCCTCATAACATCCAGGTTTCCACCAACCTCAAGAACACAAAGCTTTTCAGTTCTTTGCCACAAGGTAATTTTTAAAATGTGGTTTCTTTGTTTAAACAGTTACTAAGTTGGTTGTATTTTAGTAACAGACTGCCCCTTCCAGAGCCCTCCATTCAGTCCTGTATGATCACATCATCATCGCTGTCATCCTCTTCCTCCTCCTCCTCTTCCTCCTCATCTTCTGGCACTTCCTCCTCCTCCTCCTCCTCCTCTTCATCCAGACAAACCACCACCTCAGCTGGCTCAGGTAATCGAGAATCAAACCAATCCAGTACTTGCTGGGTGCTAAGCCTTGACTCCTGACTCAGTTGAGGGATATCCCTTTCCCGTAGCTGTTGGTGGGCTGCCCAGTACCTCTCCAAGGGCCGTATATCTGGCGGAGGTGGGGGGATTGGCAGAGGTGGTGTTTCAGCCCATTCATTCAAGGAGCGGGTTGAAGGCGATGGTGTGGGAACTGCTGGGTCCTGGAAACTAGGGGCACCGGGTACTGCATTATCCCGAAACCATTTTAGTTGCCCGTGCTTCAAGGCATAGCGTGTGTCACCAAACCACTGAATAATCTCAGGCCGAGGTAAACCAGTGATCTGCTCTAATTTATGGTAATCCTCACGGCGTGCCCATTGACACTGTAAAAAAAACGATTTGAGGATAGCCAACTGCTCTTTGGTTTTGCGCTTGGTCTTTCGCTGGCGTTGGGTATCTGGGGAAAGGTACTCAGCAGGGCCAACCCTATCTAGTACTGAGTTAGGCCTGAGCCTCTGGGGCCAGGCTGGCTCCACATGTGGGGGAAGAGCCTGTTCACTGGGTGACAGTGGCTGTGGGAGACAGCCCAGTGGCTGGAGGGGTATAGAGGTGGCTGTAGTTCCATTAGCCAGTACCTGGAAAGAGGAAGAAGAGGTAGAAGAAGGAGGAGTCACATTAGATGCTGACCCCTGCTTACAACTACTGGCAGATAATGAGGTTGGTGGGGGCTTATCTGGAGCATGTGGCTGGTGGACAGCTGTGGAGTGGTTCCAGGAAGCAGGACCAAGGCCATGAGACTGGTCAGGACCCCTGCCTGTCTGCTCCTTAGGGAGGCCACTGCTTTGAGGATCCTGCCAAAATTCTGACTGGTGCGAGAGTACTCCACTGCCAGGTGCAACCAGGGGCTCCTTTGCTTTCTGATGACTCAGTGGCTCTGAGGGGTCCTCAGGCTCTACCTTTAATCCTTTCATCTGGGTGGGCTCACTAAGAGTCAGGGGCACTATTCCAAGACTAACTTGTTCTGGAGGTGGCAGTGGAGAAGGCACCTCCTCCGGGGGCCGCCCTGCATGATGAGTAAAAGAAAGGAGGGATTTGAAATGAAGTTGGTCCCTGTGATAAACCACTCGGGCTCGAGTCTCTTCTATTTCTTCAGATGACCAGCTGATACCACAGCGGAGGCGCTGGGCCATGAACCAAGTCTTCACTTTCTCCATCTGCAGCCCATAGCGTAGGCAGAGAAGGGCAATGTCAGCTAGACTAGGATAGGGGAAGTAGCTGAAGGTTTGTAGCAGGTGTTCATTGCCATCTAGCTCACTGGTCTGGGCTGCTTGAGTCCACACAAGCTGGAGGTCCTCGGAGATTGGAGGGAGACAGATGAGCCCCGCATGGGAGGTATTAAGACTGCTGGCCTCTTTGTTAGGAGGCATGGTGCTTTCTGATTTGTGCCCTTCAGAGATAGCTGTAACAAGAAGAGAAACAGCTCAATCATTAGGGTCCTCTTTTGGCTCATTGGTCAATTTCTACCAAACAAAATGCTGGATTCCAAAACAATCAACTTTCTATGTGTACTGTGCTGTTTTGTTTTTAAAGTGCCCTAACAGTTTCTTATTTACTTTCTTTCATAACCCTATCAGTTATCAGAGCCTGCTAAAATTCCCATTGTGTGAATGAAAAAAAAAAACAAAGTCCTAATTATCCTAAGTAATGCGACTAATGAGTGCTTTTATCTTAGATGAAAATCTGTCTTTAGAAGAAGGACTTTCAGCCAGGATGGAGGCGCAGGTAGACACACCGTGCCTCCTCAAACAACCGAAATAAGGACAACAATTTAAAAACAAAAAACAACCAGTACTGATGGAAAATTGAACTGTATGGAAGTCCGACAACCAAGGAGTTAAAGTAGACATATTCATCCAGACTGGTAGGAGAGCAGAGTGGTGGCTGGTGGACCCTGGGCACACATGGCAGCTTGGGCAGACCAAGCAAGGTGGTGGATTGTGGAGCGCAGTGTGGTGCACAAGGCAGCAGGCGGTCCCACATTCGTGCGCAGATAAACCAGACAAAACAGGAGCGAGACAGATCGTGCAACCCAGGGTCCCAGCGCCAGGAAATAAAGCCTCAAAACACCTATTGAAAACACTTGTGAGTGTTGAGGTGCCGGGAGAGACTCCCAGCCTCACAGGAAAGCTCATTGCAGCGACCCACTGGGTCCTAGAATGTACATAAGCCCACCCACATGGGAATCAGCACCAGAAGGGCCCAATTTGCTTGTGAGAAGCAGGGGAAGAGACTGAAATCCGACAGAGAGCCGAGCAAGCACCATTGTTACCTCTCGGACCCCGGCCGCACATTCAGCGTCACAACCCAGTGATGTGGGTTGCCCTGCCATGATGAACACCTAAGGCTCCACCCCTCACTACATAACAGGCATGTCTAAACAACAATGACAAAAAATGGCCTAAACGAAAGAACAGATCAAAGCTCCACAGCAAATACAACTAAGCAATGAAGAGATAGCCAATCTATCAGATGCACAATTCAAAACACTGGTAATCAGGATGCTCACAGAATTGGTTAAATTTAGTAGCAAATTAGATGAAAGAATGAAGACCATGCTAAGTGAAATAAAGGAAAATGTACAGGGAACCAATAGTGATGGGAAGGAAACTGGGACTCAAATCAATGGAGTGGACCAGAAGGAAGAAAGAAGCATCCAGCCAGAAAAGAATGAAGAAACAAGAATTCAAAAAATTGAGGAGAGGCTTAGGAACCTCCAGGACATCTTTACACGTTCCAACATCCGAATTATAGAAGTACCAGAAGGAGAAGAGGAAGAGCAACAAGTGGAAAAGTTATCTGAACAAATAATAAAGGAGAACTTCCCCAATCTGGCAAAGGAAATAGACTCCCAGGAAGTCCACGAAGCTCAAAGAGTCCCAAAGAAGTTGGACCCAAGGAGGAACACACCAAGGCACATCATAATTACATTAGCCAAGATTAAAGATAAGGAGAGAATCTTAAAAGCAGCAAGACAAAAGGAGAGAGTTACCTACCTACAAAGGAGTTTCCATCAGACTGTCAGCTGATTTCTCAAAAGAGAACTTGTAGGCAAGAAGGGGCTGGAAAGACGTATTCCAAGTCATAAAAGGCAAGGACCTATATCCCAGATTACTCAATCCAGCAAAGCTTTCATTTAGAATGGAAGGGCAAATAAAGTGCTTCTCAGATAAGGTGAAGTTAAAGGGGTTTATCATCACCAAGCCCTTATTCCATGAAATGTTAAAGGAATTTATCTAAGAAAAAGATAAAAAATATGAATAGTAAAATGACAACAAACTCACAACCATCAACAACTGAACCTAAAAAAACAAAAACAAACTAAGCAAACAACTAGAAAAGGGGTCCTGGCTGGTATAGCTCAGTGGATTGAGCATGGGCTGCAAACCAACTGGCCATAGGTTTGAATCCCAGTCAGGGCACATGCCTGAGTTTCAGGCCAAGTCCCCAGTGGGGAGCATGCGAGAGGCAACCACACACTGATGTTTCTCTCCCTTTCTCTCCTTCCCTTCCCCTCTCTAAAATCTTAAAAAAAAAAAAAAAGCCAACTAGAAAAGGAACAGATTAATAGAAATGGGGATCAAATGGAGGGTTATCAGTGGAGAAGGAAGGGAGGAAAATGGGGGAAACAGTACAGGGAATAAGAAGCGTAATTGGCCCACGAGTGCGGCTCGTGGATTGAGCGCTGGCCTGTCGCTGGTTAAATTCCCAGTCAGGTCACATGCCTAGGTTGTGGGCCAGGCTAGGTGTCCAGTGAGGGGTGTGCATGGGGCAACCACACATTGATGTTTCTCTCCCTCTCTTTCTCCCTCCCTTCCCTTCCCTCTAAAAAAAAAAATAATAAATCTTAACATAATTGGTAGGCACAAAGTAGACAAGGGGAGGTTAAGAATTGTATGGAAATGAAGAAGCCAAAGAACTTATATGTATGACCCATGGGCATGAACTACGGTGGGGGAATGATGGTGGGGGAGGTACACGGTGGAAGAGAATAAAAAGGAGAAAAAAATGGGACAACTATAATAGTATAATCAATAAAATATATTTTTTAAAAATTAAAATGTAAAAAAAAATTAAGTAGGGCCCTGGCTGGTGTGATTCAGCGGGTTGAGTACCAGCCGGCAAAATGAAAGGTCCCTGGTTTGATTCCCAGTCAGGGCACACGCCTGGGTTGTGATAGTGTACATCTCACACAGTGATGTTTCTCTCCCTCTTTTTCCCTCCCTTCCCCTCTCTCTAAAAATAAATAAAACCTTAAAAAAAAAAGAAAAACAAGCATCCTTATATAGCCTCTACCTTTCTAAGTTAAACTTATTTCACCAAGTTCATGGAACACAAGTCACAAAATGAAGGCTCAATCAACCCCAGAAACAAAAGGAGCAGTGATCTCCTCTTGTTACATATGTGTTAGCTCCTAACAGTTAATTTTTTATCTCTAGAATGTGAAGATGGGTTGGAAATACAACATATGAAAATCTAGAAGGTAAGTCAGC